GCCGCAGCCAGAATATTTTGGTCAAAGACGACCTTACATAGGAGCAAGATTAAGTTTTTTGGTTAACATAATATAGCAAAGATTGTACAAAAACACTTGGCAAACAATAAATAGTGTTTTAGGAAGGGGGCGGAAATCTATAAATACTCGTGATACTTTTTGATCACAATGGTATAGGTCTTTCAGAGGCAGCTGAAATATCTGAAGGTTTCAATACGTTTTTTTCTAGTATAAGACCCTCAACAGGTTAAGAACATCCGATCTCAACACACAAATTTATTTAATATGTCGTTTAAAACTGCTTATTCCCAACCATCCTTTAAACTGGTAAAATTGTTCCAATCTTCAAGACTGTAGAATCTGATAAATTTACAAATTACAGACCAATTAGTTTACTTTCATCTTTTTCAAAACTTTTAGAAAAAGTAGCGGGAAATCAAATAAGTTTAAACTGCTCTATGAGCACCAGTATGGGTTTAGAGCTAAGCATAACACTACCCAGCCTTTAATCCAATTTATAGATAGAATTTACCAAGCATTAATAAGTTAGATCCTCATGGGTTTAGAGGGATATCCAATCAGTGGTTTGAAAATCATTTAAAGGGAAGAAAGCAGTTTACTTCAATCAAGGGTGTAAATTCCACTCTTGAAGATATACTTTGTAGAGTTCCTCAGGGGTCAATATTAGGCCCAAATTTATTCTCAATTGATTCTCAAATGACCTTCCAACCGCATCAAAACTGTTTGTTATACTTTTTGTTGATGACACAGAATTACAATATTCTTCGGAAAATCTAAAAAGTATATATGATTTTGCAAATTTAGAGCTTTCAAAAATCGCAGAGACTGGTTCAAAGCAAATAAGCTGACATAAAATGCCTCCAAAACAAAGTATATACTTTTCAGAAAGAAAGCAAAAGTTGTGGTAGGTGGCTCACTTAAACTTTTCATCGAAAATTAGGAAATAGATAGAATAGGTGCTGGTTGTAAAAATGAATCCTTTAAGTTTGTGGGAATACATCTTGATGAAAACCTAACCTGGATTCACCATGTTAAACCTGTAAAAAACAAAGCATCTAGCGCAGTGTTTGCATTATCCAATGTAAGACATCTACCTCCAAGTAACATTAAGCATACTATTTGTAACTCATTATTTCGCTCATTTGTAGAATATGGAATTTCAGCCATAGGGGAGAAACAAAAGTCCTGAAATGAAAAAAATTAGCTTGCTCCAAAAACGTGCAGTTAGAATTATTGATAGTTCAAAAACAGCTTTATATACCGATCCTCTTTTCTTTTAGTATAAAATCCTTAAGTTAAATGATTTTACTGAATTTAATCAAGCAACATTTATGTATATTATAAACGAAAGGCAAGGCCTGGCACTTTAGCTAGTATTGAATAATATGAATATATTAAATATAAAACATTATAAAATCTGTATTGTAATGTATATTTACAGACCGGACAAAGAGAGTTTACCTTTGAACATTTGTTCAAATAGTTTTTCATTGAAATTTTTTATTAATATTGACAAAGTTACGTACACACACTTTTCAACAGAAAAAAAACACTAACAGATGCATTTTTTGTTAAACTTAAAGGGACTGTCGACGTAATTTCAGATAGCATTATTGCACAAATTCGCAAGGCTCTTATAAAGGGAAACAGAGATTGAGAATCATTAGCTTTAAAAGAGAAAAAAAATTATTTCTGTCAAAAATGTCCTTACAAATATGTAGAGTACCTTTGTGAATCTGACACGTCACTATTTGATGAGGTGGTCACTTGAAAATACGTTTTCAGTCCTTTAAGCTTAATTTCAAGGTTTAAAAAAAATCTTACACATAGCTTAGACTCAAAAGGCGTATGTTTACCTTCGAACTCTACAGAATTATTGAATGAAAGCAAGAGTGACGATGGTTTTGAACACCTTTATGCATTATAACTCATTTTCAAGAAGGAGGGGGGGGCGGGGCGGGGAATGATATCCCTTTCACAATAAGTTGCCGCTGGTTTTCTATTGTTTTTTGTGATTCATTAATTCAATATTCTTTCTATCGAAATGTTAGAAAAACACCACAAATCACCAAGACTGAAACGTTTTTTATAGAAACTTGCCAATTCGAGACTAAACGGAAAAAAGCAAGGCATAAAAAAGTGACTACATTCACTCTTGGAGCACCGCTCGGCCCTAATGCGTGTTCAAAAATGAACATATAAGAACTGAATATTATGTATCTGCAAACTTTTTTATCCTCCAAACCTTGTGTTTTATACCTATCATATTTGAAATCATGATAAAAATTATAGTTTTAGGCGAGTAATCAGTTTTTGTATGATGGACATGTCCTAAGAATAATTTTCCAACACCATACTTAATAGAACAAATATTGAAGATTGTTCAAGTGTTTTTTTAGTATAAATACTGGTTGAATAGATGTAATATGTTACTAAAGTCAACTCACCCTAAGGTATAGTAACAACCTTTAAACTGACCCTCAATATAAGAGAGGTGCATGCCTGATTTACAACAATATCCTTGAAACATTTATCTGATCAAAAATATGGAAGATATCGTCCGTATTCTAGCTTTAAAAGTTTCTAAATTTATTAATTCCTACATTTTTTCCTGCAACAGAAAATTAAAATTAAAAACCAAACCAAATTATAAACCATGGATATCGATTAATTCAGACAAAGCTTTAAGGTTACCTTTGTGAATCAGACGTACCGCTCTTTAAATGGAGAATTCCTTGAACTAACGTTTACTGACCCTTTAAACCAATCCTAGATATGCAATATTTAAGCAAATACAGTTTAGGCTTGAAAATCAACCTTTTTAAAGGAAGTATTTCTATGTTCCTTGGACTATTTAAAATTATAGCTTAACAATGCACCATAGTTTCAGTAGAAGTAAATATTTCCATTTACTGATAGCACTGATTGACTGATTCATAACTCTTATTCGATAATGAGATAGATAGAAAGATAGATGTTACCGCCATACTATTTCTATTGGTTCAGAATAGACAACAAACACATGACTGAACCTTGATTGGACTCGGCATACAGGAGTGAATGTCCGATTTACAACGGTCCCCTTGAAAACTTTGTCTGATAAAGTATAGAATTAGATATCAATGTTTTAGATTCTTTAAACTGTTTATTTTTATTTGTGGTTTCTTTTCAACAGGGACTTGCGCATTTTTTGCTCATACGAAACAATGGAGAAATTTATAGAAATTAACACTATTTAATTCAGAAAAACGAAGTTACATTCCACATAAGATCAAGGTTTCATGGGTTATTCTTGTAAATTAAGCATTGCCAAGGTTATAATGCAAGGAAAGTTATATCAGAGGTGTACGCATGTACTGCAGTGTACTGTCTCTGGGCGGTAATGTAAACACAAGACGGATGTCGAAGCCTAACATGGGATCCATCTTTCACATAAAAAATCACTGAAATGTTCTGGTCATAGGAAACTATTATGTGAATTATTAAAATTGTCAAAATTTAATGCTTTTTAACCTCCTAAGATACTAATCGAACACTGATGCATCTATTCTTGTTTACAAATTCCACCCAGAGAGAACTGGTTTCAATATGTACACGCAGCTGCATTAACTTTGCTTGCATTATAACCTTGGGCATTGCCCTCTTTGCATGGAGCAGAAGGGTCACCTAAAATTCGCTTTGAGACAAACAAAGTTTTTTCTCATGAATGTTTAGATGATTTCTGTCTTGTGTATAACGTTTGTGTTGGCTGGCGTATCTCAGGTTATCTATTTAAATCTATTTTCTTTTATAATAAAAGAATAATTTATCTTTGTTTTTTTCCTGCATGGAAGTCGGTGCCCGCTTCTGTTCTAAAGCAGATTTGGGCAATAATTGCAATAATATGTACTTTGGAGAAGAAAGAACGAAGCAGTGTAGAAAAATAAAGACGACTTTTTTCACAATATTTAAAATTGGCGTAGCCGCTGGAATCGTACTTTTTAGTTAAATATTTTTTTCTTCAGTCGCTTTTAAAAAAAAACAATTGATGGCAAAAGAGTTCTAGTTTCTACAAAAATTTGTAAATGTTAAAACTATAGAATTTTGTGTTTAATTAAATGTCTAAACTGATGTTTAATTCGCTATCTCTATCAATATATCATTGCAGTATTGGTTCAATTCCTTATTCTAAAGCCGACGTGCGCCGTCGTTTCTAATTAATATGTAAAATAAAGCATACTTATATTTCCCTTTTAGGCCAAAAATCTTCATCCTGAAATCGATGTGGTTCAGATCAACAATGAATCTGGTATTTTTATTAAAAATCTATTCACACACAAAGATATGCATAAATATATTAATTGTGAAGTTTAAGTTTGTTTGAAACATATTTTTGAATATTTATATTTGGGGTTTTATAATAAGTAGCAAATTATGCAAANAAAATGCTATCTACAGTTTTATTTTTAGAAAAAAAAATTCTTAAAAGTGTAAAAAAGTTCTCCAGTAATGCAAATATGATTTCATAAAATTCCGTTTTACCATTTAAATAAAAGGATTTTATGAAAATAAAATCTTCTTTACACTGATTATTTAATTTCTCAAAAATATAAAAAAATTTCTCCCGGAAAATACGCCTTGGTTGCGATACGTAGCGGTTTCTATACGTTGGATTTCTATAAGGTTTGACTTTTTTTTTTAGAAATAATCGACCCGAGCATGCTGACTCCAAAGCTAGAGATCCAGCTTCTTACAAATGAAACAGGTTTGTTTTTAAAATATATTTTTAAAAGATTTATCAGAAACTTTATTTAAAAATATTTACATTCAGAAAAGAAACTGACAACCCGCCTCAAACTCTAATTTTCTTATAATTTTAGTTAGCGCGTCGGGAAATAATTAATGATAAAAATAATTAGGGAAATAAAATAAAATAATCATTAGGGATTTAAAAAACCACAAGGGTTATAAAATGAAATAACTGGTATGGATATAAAATAAATACTAATGATACAAAAATGAAATAATCATATGAAACTTATTTTAGAAGTTATAGATCCCAGCCTTCTGATCCCTAAAATGAACCTAAACAGAGCTACAACTGATTGTGGTAGGTTCTTTTAAGGGATTGTTCACTTTTTTTTGGAGATTAAAAAAGTTTCGTTTAAAGGGACTGTAGACTAAATTTAAATCGACCCTACACTTATGTTGGCAAGTTTAGAACTACATTTATTGCTTCTAAATATAAATACATGATAAATAATGAGTTTACCTAAGGAGAGATAGATGATTCCAGAATCCAACGCTACTGATTTGCGGATTTTATAATCCTCTTTGAGGGATTTCAACCTCTGCACAGTTCAGATTTACAGCTGTATCCTTCAAAACAAATTCTGACTAAAAATGATTGAGATATCATGTGAAATATGATTTATATTATTGTGGTTCTCTAAAACAGTGACTGGACTTATTTTTTTGCAGATTCTAAAAGTAGAGCACAAGAGCTTTCTAATGATGTATCATTTGTCATATTTGGTTCATAAAACATGGGATTTAGCATATCCTGGTTTTCAAGTACCCCAGCAGGGATAGAGTTAAATACAAAACAAACGAGTCTTTGCCACAAACTCAAATGTTCTAATCCCTATATCTATGTACCCTGATGTTGAAACTTATGATATTTCAAACTTAGATTATTTGATCTAACAAAATTCATAATTTAAAATATCTAAGGTCTACGACATTGGGTTGCAACGAAATAGGGATTAGAAAATCAGAATTTGTGGCAAATACTCAATTCCTGTAAAGTTCATTTTACAGAAAAAGAAAACACTGTTTTCAGTGAAATATAAATATGATTATGTTTAAATTTGGATTTAATTTTAGTTTTAAATTTATCTCCATTAAGTTCACAAAGGGACTGTAGACTTAATTTCAAGTGATTCGATTCTATCTGTAGAGTCTTTAAACCTGTGTCTGATCATCTGAAACCTGATTTCTTTTTACAAAAACCATGAAAATATGCATCAAAAGTTCATGTATTTGTTTGAAAGTAAATTGAATTTTATTAAAGACCTGTTTTGCTGATGGCTGTGCAATGTGCGGAGGTAGGATTTTTTTAAATATATCATAACTTTTTCATTTTGCTCATTTTTTGCTTAACAACTTGATATTGCAATAAATATTTGAAATATTGCAAATTTGCAATTATTTTTTCATATTATTAAAGTAGAGCCCAAGAGTTTTTTAAAAGTATATCAAATGTTATAGATTTGTATTGGAGGGGGTCCCTGGATCCCCCCCCCCCCCAACTATTTTGTGGTAAACCAGACGTCAGCCTGAATAGGGTTAACAGAAAGGATGTGTATGTTGATTAACAGAAAGTTAGGTTATAGGTACTCTGATTAATAGGATGTATGTATAGGTACTCTGATTAATAGGATGTACATATAGGTACCCTGATTAACAGAAAGTATGTTTAGTTACTCTGATTAACAGGAAGTATGTTTAGGTACCCTGATTAACAGGAAGTATGTGATGACCGCTATGCATTGTGTGAAGAGTAGCGGAGTTACCGCTAGAAGTGCATTGGTATGAAACTAAATTTTAAAAGTTTTAAGTATCAAACAATGAAATGTGGTTTATGTTTGATGATGTTATGATAACCAGAAAACTCTGAAATGGGAAGACGACTTTTAGAGTCAAGTTGTAACTTAAAAAATTATCAGGAAACACAGCACTTGGGCCGTTTGAATAGCCTTATGGCATGCCACTAAATTATTAATTTAAATTTAAATTAAATGTAAATTAAAAGGTATTGCTATAATGTCGTCTTCATTTTCCATAACCCTTATTTGCCTAAGCATAGCCATGGTGGCCAGATTGTAAAGCAGTGTACTTTTTATTTTCAAAGGAAAACCCCAAAATATTGTTAATATTTTAGTTCAATGTAAATATTTCTCAGAGTTTGTTGTGCTTTCTAAATTAAATAAAGGTGTAATGTTGAAAAAAAACTAATTTAAGCCTATTAATTTGTCCCTTAGGTCAAAATTGGAGAATTTAGTCTGAACTCAGCCATTGAGACAATTCCACAACAGGTACACTACAAACTAGATTTTAGAATTCAGAGATGGATTAAAGGGAATGTACACGGAATTTCAAGTCATCTATTTATAAAATGATATGCTCGACGTGCAACAATACATGATACACTAGAATCATCTAGTTTTTTGCTTAAAGTTGATAATTTTAGTTGTATTTTCTCAATAAAGGGAATTTTATGCGAGTTATGCTGCTTTGACAATAAAGGAACTTTCAGAATTACTTACTTTTCAAGAATAAAAATGAAGATATCTTTCTCATTATAATGGATGAAGGTTTAACGGGTACGGTTGTTTAAAGGACATGCAATATAATGAATAGAGGGCTTAAAATTACGCTCACTCTCTGGAATCCACAGTCGTGTTATTTGAAAATGAACATCCGGTACCAACTTTGTTTACAAAAAATCCTATACATACATTCTTTGCTTGTCTGTCTGTTTGCCTGATATAGTATCCATTAAATGTCAAAACGGCTAAACCAATTGGGCCCAAATTTTTTGTGAGACCTCCAAAGACCCTAGAGAAGGTTTGGTCAGAACTACAAAAAGTTGTATCCAAAAATTTTTAATTTTTGTTAAATTTTAAAAACCAGGCTAATCTTCTATTATATCAACTTTTAATTGTGGCTTTATCTGTGAGCATCTTCTCTTTTTACAATATAAAACAGTAAAAGAAAAGTTCACGGAGTTTCTAATATTTTTTCGCGCATTTTCAAACTTTTAGAAAAATTTCTATTTTAGAATATCCCAGTTGCCCAGATTATTGAGAGAGACGATTACGATGAGAGTAGGTAAAATAAAATTTGGTGCTTTACGCCACCTTTTCTTTTAAACTTTTAGTTTTTTTAAAATAGTTTTAAAAGCTTTATCTAAAGTTTTAGATATCCATGTTTTTGTTTTTGAACACTATTTATTTTCATTTGTGGTTTCTCTGCAAATGTGACTTGCACATTGCTTGCATGCACATTATAAGAAAGACTTGAGAAATTATCAGAATTCGACCCTTTTCGAGTCAGGTACATGACTTTATTTTCCGCATTTTCCCACAGGTTTTAAATTAGGTCTTGCTTTATTTGCATGCAGAAAAGAGTCACTTAAAATTAAGGCTACAGTCCCTTTAATAGCAGCTATTTTTTTCTATATGAGCTGAGGCTTCGAGCGGGGTTATTCTAAGAACTTGAGATAATTTTAAAGAATTAAAAGAATGTTTTTAACCTCAAAATCTTCTAGTTTAATGATTTAGATTACCTTGTTCGTGGATTTCCCTAGTGATAAGGAAGACGACATTGAATCCTAATTCTAATGTTTAGGATTAACAACGACATTGCACTGCTTCGTCTGTCCACTGATGTTGTGTTTAATGACAACGTTGTACCTGCCTGTCTGCCTACTGACCCTAACCAGCAATACGTTGGCCAGCAGGCCATAGTCTCAGGTTATAAAACGGGTTTAGTCAATTATTTTCGTCTTCTTGCTTTCCAACTCGTCAGAAATATTTAAACTGTTTATTATGGATTTTTTGGGCAAATACAGGGTGTCAAAGAAATATGAACATTAGGTGACGATGTAAAAATTGATTTCGACTGTTTGTGTGAAAATATGATCTAACGAATTCTAGGCTTTCCAATATGTGGTCCATCGTCTTTGTATCTTGAGAACTGAGGGAAATTTTTCAAAATTAGATACAGGGCGTCCCACGAAACATGACAGTTGATGAATAGTTTAGAATGTCGTCTTCCAAATACTGGATTAGATTTAAAGACTTTTTGCAGTTTAGTTCAGTAGAAACATCTTTTACTCCAATAAATTTTAATTTGGGACCAATTTTACTATAGTGAAACTGCCGTATAATGTTTATTATTATTTTCTTTGGTATTAAACAACTTAACAAATTATGGAAGAAGACATATTAAAATATTCAGAATATGTCATGTTTAGTTGGACGTAGCTTTGATGAATTTTATTTATATAAATGAATTAATAACGAAACCAAATACTAAATATCTCACTCATTTCTGATGGTAAAAAATCCCAGGTTTATGGGAGAATAATGTTGTTTATTGTATTGCATAAGATATTAAAATCCCAGGTTTATGGGAGAATAATGTTGTTTATTGTATTGCATAAGATATTAAAATGATCGGATTACCAAATTATAATTAAAACAAAATAAAGAGGACATATATATCGCTTTCTTGGTAACCACTGGAATTGCAAAGTTATTCTTAGTTTGACATCTTGTATGCTACAGTGGGAGCCGTAGAACTTAGAAATAAGGAGACAATTCATTTAAGCATTCTCATTCGTGTCTGTGCAGTACAATGTTCATTAAACTTGAGTCTAACAGTCGTCTTCCTATTCCACAGTTTAAAGGGTTCCACTGTATGATTTCATACAACTTTGAGATAAAATAGCCAAAACAGTGAGTTAACATTAAACACGACAACTTTGTACTGTGCAGTGTACTCAGACTCCTTTCACTTAATAACTTAATTTTCAAGCTATTATTTAGTGAAAATACTGGTTTTCTAAAAATTATATAAAACACACGAAATTGCTGACATGTCGTCTTCTTAGTCCAAAGTTTTATGGGTCTTTATCAGGCTTTTGTCACTACAGGTTGGGGAACAACTTCATCTGGAGGATCAACCAGTAATCTTCTCAAGGAAACTACAGTCAAGATTGTGGCAAACTCAGATTCAACTTGTCTAGGACCGGTAGGTGTTACAGTGGTCCCCAGAGTAAAGTGGAAAAGAAAGGCGGCTAAATTTAAAAGTTCCATAAATATGAATAAAGGTTTTTATGGGTTTTTTTTTCTAAAGAACCAATTATAAAAAGCTCTTCAATAACATTTCTCCATAATTCATAGTTCATGACAAAATAATGTATTTTTGGAAAAAATTTATTTATATTAAATTCATTCCAAAAAAAAAATTTCAACCCATTAATTTTGAAAACTCTTTATATATAAAAGTACAAAGTACACGAGATGGGATTGTCAATTATCAATTATAAACGTAAATATAAGCAATGGGGAGAATTGAACTCACACCATTGATGTTCCTTACCATGGGCCAATGGTCAGACATTATTAATTTTTCAAAAGATGAGACTGTAAAGACGACCTTAAACTATTAATATAATCTTTGAGGTTAGAAAATTAGTATTCTGCCAAGGTTTAGGATTAGGCGAAGAAATCTACAGTTACATGAAATCCTAAGTATGAGGAAATCAACAGATTATTGATTTTAAAAAGAAAAAATCTCAAAATGATATTTTGACACTTGATGCAATATCTTTACTCTGTTTTAGTATGGAAATATCGGAAGCACAAGAATGTGTGCATACACAGCCGGAACTGATAGTTGTCAGGTTAGCACAGTGATAACCAGAAAACTCTGGATTAAGAAGACGACTTCTTTTAAAATCAAGTCTCAACTTTTAAAAGTCCAATGAGCATAAGACACAGCAATTGTGCAATGTAAACAGACCCATTTCATTAGATTAGTGATTTAATAAGTTTATTACAACATCAACTATAACACTAGGGTATTGCTGTAATGTCGTCTTCCTATTCCATTGTTTTCTGGTTATCACTGTAGCAGAAATCAGTGCATAGGATCCGGATACCGCGCAAAATATGACAGATATGAGACTGCACAACTTATTGCTCGTGAAGGAGAAAAATCAAGTGATTGATTGATTGATAAACCTCTTTTGATCTCTTAAAAGGATGGTGTGGTCGTTTAGAAAAGGGCATGCCTGATTCACAACGGTACCCATGAAACCTAAATCTGATCTACAGTGTGGAAGATGGTGCCATTTTCTGGCTTGAAAAGTGCTAAATGCCAATAATTTCTCCATTGTTTCTGAAGCAAGATATAGGCCACTTTTGCAGAGAAACCACAAATGATAATTTACTGTTTTCAAAAACAAACACATAGATATATCAGACACGGCTTTAAAGGGTGCCGTAGTGAATTTGACGTGTCACTCTATCAATGGAGGGTCACTTGACAATAAGATTACAATCGAATTTGAGAAAAAATTGTATGTAACGGATTCGATTTAAAATAGGTTCTATGCACAGAATAAAACATTTTTTTCTACAGGGCGATAGTGGTGGCCCGCTGGTTCTGAAGGAGGATGGGAGGTGGGTGTTTTTAAACTTTAATTACAAAAATGTATAAAAAATATTTCTTATTATTTAGATATACAGTAGTAGGTGTAGTATCCTATGGGAATGGATGTGCTCGGGCTAACAATGCTGGAGTATACGCCAGGGTCACCAACTATCTCTCCTGGATTAACGAAAATGTCGCGGTAAAGCAATTATTCGAGATAAAGTAACTAAACTCTAATTTTTGAACCCCTATATCTTTGCAACCATATAAAGATATTTGAGATTTGATACTAAAAAATTGATGTAATGGAAATCATAGTTTCAAATATTAAAGGTTGCAAACATATAAAGATGTCAAAATTATAATTTTCATGGCGAGTGCTTATCCGTCTGTGTATATGTAATATGTATTTGTAAATACAGTGGAAAGCAGAAAACAACATGAATCCTTGAATTTGTATGACATTAATTGTGTCTAAAAACATTTTCTTAAAAAGAGTTTTAATTTTTTAGAAAAATATCAGAAACAATTGCAAAGTACTAAATCCTTTGCGACATTTTCTTAGTTAAAGAAAGAGCAAAGGCGACATTCATTCTTTAGTTTTCTGATTACCACTGTATACAGATAAAGATTTGACGTTTATTGATAGGAAGGTTCGGTTGCCATAACCTACTCGTGTATGCCAGAAACATGGATATAAATATTCATACAGATTTTTATAATTTGTAGAAATATAATATCCTACCCCCATTACTCTCCTCGTACTCTAATTTTTCATTTTTCATATAATTTCAACCAGATGGTGTAAAGACTCCTTTGATATTTTATAACTATAAATTCCGATTTCTCATTTATGATATTAAAATCGTAGAAATTGTTAATGAACTAATCCTCTATTATAGAATATGTTCGTGAACTAATCCTCCAGTATAGAATATGTTTAAGAACTAATCCTCCAGTAAAGAAAATGTTCAAGAATTGATTCTCTATTACAGAATATGTTCATGAACTAATCCTCCAGTACAGAATATGTTCAAGAACTAGTTCTCTATTATAGAATATGTTCATGAACTAATCCTCCAGTACAGAATATGTTTAAGAACTAATTCTCTATTACAGAATATGTTCATGAACTAATTTTCCAGTACAGAATATGTTCAAGAACTAATTCTCTATTACAGAATATGTTCATGAACTAATCCTACAGTAAAGAAAATGCTCATGAACTAATTCTCTATTATAGAATATGTTTATGAAAATTTTAGAATATGTTCAGGAACTAAGCCTCCAGTATAGATTATGTTCAGGATGGATGGTGTTCAGGAACTAATCCAACTGTTGCTCCAACAACAGCTGCTCCAACAACAGCTGCTCCAACAACAGGATTCAACTTCATGTCTTTTTTCAATATAGTAATCAGATCCTTTCTGACAGATCTTTTTTTAATATATTATAGTAATCAGATCCTTTCTGAACACTTCTTTTTCAATATATATAGTAATCAGATCCTTTCTGAACAATTCTTTTTCAATATATATAGTAATCAGATTCTATATGAGCACTTCTTTTTCAATGTATATAGTAATCAGTTCCTTTCTGAACACTTCTTTTTCAATATATGTAGTAATCAGTTCCTTTCTGAACACTTCTTTTTTAAAATATATTGCAAATATATCGACCCCCTTGTAGATCTGAGCTGGAAACTTTTAAATGGGATATCCTTAATCCCGATCGGTTAATTAATCTGGAGATTAATTACAAGAGCAGAGCAAGCATTATTTAATCTGGAGATTAAGAAAAAGAGTAGATCACTCATTAATGTCGATCTCCACCATTCTAAAGTTTTCAGCTCTGGACCCTCAGCCCCTTCTAACCTCTCGTGATTATGCTATTCCATGTCAGCTTTGGTAAAGATGTATAAATTTAAATCTTTCTTGACAAGTCTCCATCTTTACCAGCTTTACACTGGCATACCGTGATTATCATCACAAAGAGGTTTACTTCCGTTCTCCGAACTACTAAAGATGTATAAATAGTCACTCAAGGTTGCAGGGGCGGGGGGTCTACCGCACTCAAGGTTGCAGGGGCGGGGGGTCTACCGCACTTACAGAGTTTACCAAGTATTGAATTGAACCTGACTGAAGGTGGTGCCTGTGATCTCACATGTATTGGAGACTTTACTGGAAACTATCTTTGTAAGTTTTTATTATAAAGGGATTCATCTTTGTAAGCGCATTTACAAGTGAGCCTTCACACAAAGCTGACAAGGTCCAATTCACAACGGTACCCTTAAAAGCTTTGTCGGATCAAATATGAATTAGATATCAAGGTTAATGATTGTAAAAAACTGATTATTTTCAACTGTGGGTTTCTGAAAAAAATTACTTGCGCATTTCTACTGCAGGAAAACATATATGAACTTTTAGAATAAAATACTTTTAAACCTGGAAAAATGACATTATCATCTAGATTTTTCATCAGATTAAGGTTTCAAGGATACTGATGTGAATTCTATTGAGCCGAGAACTTTTGGTGGAGATAAAGATAAGCTGCAAATCCTTAACTCGAGCTATTTAATGGAAACTTTTGAATTCGAAAGCTTAGCTCGTTAGATGAACGAAATCCATTTCAATCCTGACTCTGATTGGCCAAGGTGGAAAATCCGGACTTCTCATTGGTCGAATTTACAAACATTGACCAATGAGAAAGATTAAACAGAAAGGTCCTTATATGCATTATGCAGGCCAATTTTAATCACTTAAATGACTGCAATTTAAAACTAAATTAATTCTATTAAATAATACAATATAAAAATTAACAAAAAACTAAAATAATTCAAAAATGAAAATTTCTGTAATTTATTTAGTGAATGGATTACCTGCTACTTGCAACCTTGGCATCTGCAGTTCTACAGATGGAACTGATCTTTGCAGTGCTCTCAGGTTTCCTTGTGGTACACCAACAACAGCTGCTCCAACAACTGCTGCGCCAACAACAGCTGCTCCAACAACAGCTGCTCCAACAACAGCTCCTCCAACAACAGCTCCTCCAACAACAGCTCCTCCAACGACAGCTGCTCCAACAACAGCTGTGCCAACTTCAGCTGCTCCTGTCAAACCCGGGAAACTTTGCAATCTGAGATGTGTGAACCGCAATCTTAACGGAAATTATTTAAGTAAGTTTTTGTTCTTGTTCATTTCAAAATCTTTTGATGATTTAAATAATTCGGTATTCGTTTTTAAAAATTAATTCAATGATTTAGAAAAAAAATGTAAAAAAAGCTAGTTTTAATTTGCATCAGATGCCCAGAGGCTGGCCTGGTACTTCAAATTAACTACCCATGTGACCATTGTTGTTTAGTAAATGGAATTCCTGCAATCTGTAGAAGGGGACGGTGTCGCGCAACAGATGGTTCTCATCTGTGCAAGCAACTTGGATTCCCGTGCAGAAGATAAAACATGGTGATAGTTTTAGAGTTTAAGATCAGAGTCCATTTTCTCCAATATTATTTCAATCTATAACTATTTTGCGATTAAAAGAACAAACTAAACAGCTTGATTTAAAGAACAAATTTAGCTGTTTGATTTAAAGAACAAA